ACATGTCTGCATTGCTGTTTGCATTGAACTAAACAGTTGTTTAAAATCCCTTAGAGAGGTCAAAGTCAAGAGCTTCGGCTCTTTTTGTAAGGTATTCCAAGAAACAGGAGCAGAGTAAGAGAAGGCCCTTTTGCAGAGTTCAGTCCGCATTGAGGGGACGCTGCAGGTAATGATCTCTGTCCTGAGAGCGCACGCTGTAGCTGCACTGACAAAGTAACATATAGGAGAAGATGTATGAAGGCAACAGACTAAAGAAGTGATTTTCAAATGAAAATGTACCAGTGTGAGAGTCTGCATGACGTTAATGAAGTCCATTTGACCAATGAGTACAGGGTGCAGTGATGGGTATGATAGTTGCAACCAGTTATGAATCTTAGCACACCATGATAGACAGCATCCAACATCTGCAGGGTGCTTGCAGGAGCATTTGTGTAAATAATGGCATAGTCAGTGGAGGGAAGGAAAGTTGTAGTGACAAGGTGTTTCCTAACATTCAGAGTTAGACAGGATCTATTTCTGAAAAGGAAACCTCATTTTATTTTCTATTGCTTTATCAAATTTTCGACATGAGGTTGAAAAGAGAGATGTGCATGGACCAAGATTCTCAAGTATTTGTAAGAATCTACAAACTATATAGGAACACCATTAAGATAAGATAGAAGGAAGGACTGCTGGTACCTCTTAAAAAGTTAAATCTGGTCCTCTGGACATTCAAAGTTTTTGAATGTCCAGAGGACCAGATTTAACTTTTTTAGATTTTTCTACCTGGATTATTGAGCATGCATCAGGAGACTGCTGGTACCGACTTCCTGTTCAAAAACAGCATCCCTTTTGGTTTTGTCAGCATTTAGCACCAGTTTGCGATGGAACAAATCTGACTGGGTGATGTCAAATACAGTCTGTAAAAGCTGGAAAACGTTAGCAACTGTGTTAGTTCGACAGTAAACAACCGTATCGTTGTAATTAGATGTACAGGTATATATGAATGTTTCTGTTCAGTGCCCTGAGATGACTTCTGTTGTGACTTGGTGCTACATAAATAAACTGAATTGAATTGAATTGGACTGAGTTGACCTCGAGCTCTGTGTACCAAAACATGCTAATCAGTAATGTCAGTAATGTAATCGCCTCAGTTTATGTGTTCATTCACAAACCAATAAACAAATTTAATGAAATTCTCAGTAAATAATCATTGGCTGCACATCTACAGCTGATGAACATTTGGAGTCATGCAATTCAAGACGACTGCCACAACTAATAAACTTCAGCAAACATAAAAATGGCTACAAAAAAAATACAATTTTACAGTTGAGCTCAAATTTAAAATAGTAGAAGCCGAGTCAACCCTAAAACATAATCTGAAAACTTGAGGGTTGTGCAAGATATCACATTTGATCATGCAAGTTATTAACTTTAAAAATGCTAATACTTTATTTTTCCAAATAAAAGAATCTTTGTTGAAAACTCGGGTGATATCATTCCTGCAAGGAATTCTAGGCCTTTAATTTTTCCTGGCTTTAAAAAGGTCTCTGTTGTTCGATCTGTTTTAGTTTCAACTACATTTGTTCTCAAGGCAGTCTACCCCTATGGGTAAATGACACCCAGCATTTTTACACATGCGCGCACACACACGCACGCATACACACCCACCCATGCCACCCAACATGTTGGTTCTAGGAAGCTCCCATCAGCTCACAGGAACACCGCAGTGGGAACCAGGCGCCGTGCCATACTAGATGTGCGTACTTGGAAGAACGTGTACACCCAACACGTGCAATCCTGATGCTTTGTTTTGAACTGTGGCATGTTCTTGCAGTTCCTCTCATGTCCTTGATAAGTCAACCTGACAGTGGGGGTGTTGGCTTAACTCTAAGCACATGAAGATGAGACAAGAAAATTTGGGCTGTTATGCAGCTGCAACAAAGCAGGAAATTAAACCCAAAAACCATTTGTTAAAGTCTGATTTCAATCCATCTGAGCACGTTCAGCTTTAATCTTTGGTCTCTAGGACCTTGAATGAGACTGAACCAACATTGTTTAGTTTTTTTGAGGTGGACATGAAGGGCTGGTACCAGTTATTCTGTCAACTCCAAGGGGTGGGGGTCCTTCTTGTCTGTCGTCCTCCACTTATATGCAACAACAGTTTACTGATTAAAGAGCACTTAGGAGCTTTTAAAATGTGCACAAGGATGATTGTCCTCAGTATTGTTCCTCCTGTTTAAAGAGAAAAATGGATCAGTTTAAGTACTGTCGGAACATGTTCCTGAATCAGATCAGAACGTGCGCTGGAATTTAGGCTTTGTGTAAAATAAACCGTTTGGACTCTTTTATCTTTGAAAAATATGTGGACTTTGGTGCGAAAAGTCCACTTCAGAAGAGGGGAATCTTACATAAGTGCGCCGTAATGATCCTGTAATCCAGTCTGCGTTTTGACATAAAGTTCATAAAGAAATTCAGGGTTCAATTGTCCGAGCAAATGGCCAGGATCATAACAGAACCCGTCAAAACATTCAGTTAAATCTGCAGGTTACAGATTTCTTTCACCAGGAATCATGTGAGCAGTCCTGGGAAAAAAGTCAATCCTCTTTCAACTCTAGGGATTTTTGTATCGGTACATAATGAAAATAATCCAGTCTTTGCCAGGTCTCAGAATTATTCAGATCTTATCACAAGTGCATAAAACACAACAAACTCCACCGTGGCATGATTGCTTAATCAAATGCAATGTAAAAATGAAAGTCCATGGTTGGTTTTCCTCTTGAACTTAAAGGGCCATTTCCCAGAACTGTTTAGACTCTAGAGACCTCAGTAAGCATAATAAAATCTAAGATTAAAGTTTGTACAAAGAGAAAATACTGAAAATTCATGACATTTGTAGAAAAATTGCCAGGAAAAAAAAAAGACTTTTCTCCCTTTTAAAACATGGCAGCATGGCTTTGGTTTGCAAACTTGTGTCTGAAGGAACCAAAAGACTTGCTTCTGCAAGACCAAAGTACAGGGGCTCAGGCCTCATGCTTACCATACCCAACATATAGGAGCTGGGATGGGGTAGATGTAGGGCAGCCGGCTTGGGACCCGAAAGTCCCAGGTTCGATCCCCAGGCATTCCCACATGTCGTGGTGTCGCTGAGCAAGACACCTAATCCCCAATTGCTCCCTGGGCACTTGCTTAGCTGCCCACTGCTCCACCTGGGTGTATCTCAGGTGCGATGGGTTAAATGCAGAGAACTAAGTTTGCCATTGTATGAGAACATACAATGATGACAACACAGCACTTTACTTACTTTATATCAGCACAAAAACATCATACCTGTTGATGGGCACGAAGGTGGAGGGTTAGCGCTATGGGCTTGTTTTACAGATACAGGTCCTGGACACCTTGCAGCCTTGGAACCATCAGGAAACTCCTCTGTGTACCAAAGTTTGTTAGAGTCCAATGTGAGGACATCTGTCTGAATGCTACAGCTTGGATGAAACCGGGTGACATGACGGTTCAATGATTTCTAACAGGGCAGCAAATTTAATTCAATTCAGTTTATTGATATAGCACCAAGTCACAACAGAAGTCATCTCAGGGCACTGAACAGAAACATTCACATATAAATAATTTAACATTATTTATCTGAGGAGCAGACTGCTTTGAATTTAACTCCATCACAGAACTCTCATCTTGAGCAAGCATGAAGGCGACCGTGGAAAGGAAAATCTCCCACATGAGGCAGAAACTTGTAGCAGAACCAGCCTCAGGACAAGTGTCCATCTGCTTCGACCAGCTGGGTTTGAAAAGAACAGGAAGGAGGATCAGATACACAATGGCAGGTTGAGAATCACGTTAAGCTAGAAATAAAATCAAATGAAAACTATTCAATTTTAACCATTCATTGAAGGAAATGAGGTCAACTTGTCTTCTAGTAGTCTAAGCCTATAGCAGAATAACAAGCCAACACGAACTATAGGATTTATCAAAAAGGAAAGTCTTATTCCCAGTCTTAAAACTGGATAATGTGTCAGCCTCACGGACAAAAACTGTAAGTTTGTTCCACAAGAGAGGAGACTGAGAACTGAAAGATCTTCCTCCCATTCTGCTTCTGGAAACTCTAGGAATCACAAGTAAGCCTGCAGTCTGAGAGCAAAGTGCTTTGTTAGGAAATTTTAAACTAAATGTAACTTAAAATGGATGAAAATGAAAGACGCGAGGTAACGCAACGGTCCAGTCAAAGGCAAGAACTCAACCTGTTTGAAATGCTGTACTGAAACAAATGCCTACAAGTCTCTAAAGAGAAATGGGGCAAAATTGTTCCTATATGATGAGTGAGACTAATGAGGTCCTGCACAATATCACTATTCAATTCAGTTTATTGTTATAGCACCAAGTCACAACAGAGGTCATCTCAAGGCACTGAACGGAAACATTCATATAAATAAAAGTAAGTTAATAACATTTAATTATGTGAGAAGCAGACTGCTTTGTGTTTAACTTCGTCACAGGCTCATCCTGAGAGAGCATGAAGGCAACAGTTGAACACTACAGAGTTACTGCTGCCAAGAGGCTCTACAAGCTGCTCAACCAGCCGAATTTCACTCAAAGCTTTTCATTTTGGTTTCATTTGTATTTAATATAAATGACTGTGTAAAGTCTGACGTGTGTCTTTGTACACTTGAGGTTTGGTTACGATATTTTAGAACATGATGAAAACCAGCTCATCTTATTGTGTCCTGAGATTGGAAGAGGGTGGACCGTTTCTTTCCCTGGATCTCAAAGGAACCTGATAATAAGCTATCACTTTGTCACTACTACTACACCTTCCTAAAACTATATAAATCTGTATGTAACGTATGTGTTGCTTTATTATTTTTGTCTGTTGGACACTTTGCACACTGAACCAGTATAATTTGATGAGTCGGACTGTAACAGATCTCTGAAAAAGGACTAAAGAAGTCTTGAACCGTTGTTTTTATGTGGTTTCTCGTACTCCTCAACCCCAAACTGTTTCTCTGCAGGTTACCTCATCATGACAGACGACTGGTTCTCCGAGTACGTGTATGAGGTGGTGGTAGACAAAAAATTCCTTTCCTCTGACGTCCTGGACGTGATGCAACGAGATCCCATCGTACTTCCAGCCTGGGACCCCATGGGATCGTTGGCAAATCCCAAGTTTTAGCCTCTGCCTCTGGTCTAATTGACTCCGCCCAGTTCCACGGCCACTTTTACCTCCAATATTTCCCTCGCATCTCTTTACAGAAGAGCCTGTTCTTAAAGGAAAATAAAAATCTTTTTTTTTTTTTTTACTGGACTGCTTGTGGTTTTTGTCTACCTTTCTTCTAAGGATTGTACTGCAGTTTTTTATTCAAAAATCATAGATGCTGCTTATTATTATTGTTATTATTATTATTATTATTTTATTTTATTTTATTATACACCCATCAAAAAACAGACGTATTCCCACATACTCTCTGTGTGTCTGTAAACTTTCTCTTGTTCATACCAGAACTTCTGATCCACTTGAGATAATTTTATGAAACTTCATACACATCTGCATCATCACTAGACGGAGTGTCTGGTAAACGTTTCATCACCCAAGCTCTAAGGTCAAGGTCAACATTCAAACAAGGTCTTTGCTTCTCCGGACTATCACTATAATAGTTTGTCATTGGGTGTAAAATGTGCCGTGTGCTGTATTCTTGTTCTCTTTATAACTGGTGGGCTTCATAAACCGAGGCTTTCAAAGTTAAACAGTCTTCTTGCCTTTGTAAAGTGGACTGCTAATCTCAAAGCAATTGGTATTCCAGTTGACTTACTGACGATTGGCTGTGATCAGAATAATGTGTCCCATCAGCTGAGGAAACCAGCTGAAGGTGATGTACATGGGAGGTACTGAGCAGGACGTCTTTTATGCTGCTGTGAGACTTTAAATAAGAAATGAAGCTCATCTTCAGTACAAATACTGACAACTATTCTTTTCGTCACAGCCACATGCTGCATTGACAACACACCGTCTTTGTTGTACAAAGTGGTCTAAATAACTTGAGTACCCTAGAGATGAAAGTCCTGCCGACACATAGAAACAAAAGCTTGGTGTCATATTCAGAAGTGAAGTCCAAAAAATGTACAATTATTTTACTTAAAGGGACAGGTCGTAAAACAACCAGCATTACTATACTATATTTTTATAGGGCACTTATTTTAGTTTAACTTAGACTTCTGTCTGTCTTATTATTATTTTTTTTTTTTACATCTAGAGCTGTAGCAAGTGTTTAAAAAATAAGATTTTGGAGTCGAGTAAAAAACATGCATTTTAACATTATTCAAACTGAGTACTTTTAAAGGTGCCTGAGCTTAAAAAAATTGCAAAAAAAATGTATTCATTTATTCTGGATAGATGTACATGCATGTAAAAAAAAATTTGCATGAACACGTGGTTCCTACATAGTCCAAAATTATGGAATTTAATTTTATTTATACATTATATATATATATATATATATATACACACACACACACACACAAGATAAGCTAGAACTTTATTGATCTAGCAGGAAATTGACAAAATAACATGTACAGACACTTTCCAAAAAGTTTGAATATCATGGAGAAGTTGTTTAACTTCCATAATTCCATTCAAAAAGTTAATCTTTAATAGATGATAGATTCAGGGCCCACACTTTAAACGATTTCAAGTATTTATTTGTTTATTTTTACATAATTTGGGCTTCCAGCTCATGAAACCCATGAAAACAAGAGTTCAATAAATTAGAATACTGTGGAGAAATCAGCCCAAATGTTGCAGGATGTGAATGTTTTAAACTGAGTGTGACACACTAATCATCTACTAAACTCAAAGATCCTGCACAGGTTTCCCCAGGTGTCATTAAATTGCTTCAGTTTGGTTCAATTGTCTCAGTTCGGTTCAATATGGGGAAGACTGCAGACATAACTGGCCTGAAGACCATCATTGATACCCTCCATAGGATGGGTAAGCCACAAAAGTTCATAGCTAAGGAGGCTGGCTGTTCACAGAGTGGTGTGTCCAAGCATATCAATGAAAAGTAGTGGAAGGGCAAAATGTGGCAGGAGAAGATGCACCAGCAAAAGAGATGACCGTGGACTTCATCGGATTATCAAACAGAAGATTCCAGAATCTGGCAGAGATCCAGAAAGAGTGGAATGAGGCGCGAGTCACAGCTTCAAACATCATCACATTCAGACACATCTGGGAGATGGGCTACAACTGTCGGGTTCCTCGCTGCTCTTTTCCAATGAAAGTAAAATGTGCCTTTCATTTGGAAATCAAGGTCCAAGGGTTTGGAGGAAGAAAGGTGAGGAACAGAACCCGTACTGCTTGAGGTCCAGTGTGAAATATCCACAGTCAGTCATGATTTTATGGTGAAATGTCCGGTACAGGTGTTGGTAAACTCTGCTTTCTTAAATCCAAGGTCACAACAGTCTACCAGAATGTTTTAGAGGACTTCATGATTCCTTCTGCTGAGGATCTGTATGGAGATGCAGACTTCATCTTCCAGCAGGACCTGGCCCCTGTCCATGCTGCCAGAAGCATCAAAACCTGGTTTGATGTCCATGACACAGTGCTTGACTGTCCAGCCAACTCACTGGACCTAAATCCCATTGAGAATCTATGGGGTCTTCTCAAGAGGAAAATGAGGGGCACCAGACCCAACAACAAAGAAGAGCTGACAGCAAGCATCAAGGAAATCTGGTCTTCCATAAGTCCCAGCCAGTGCCACAGGCTGATCTCCTCAATGCCACGTCACACAGAGGCAGTGATTATTAAGGCAAAAGGATTCCTAACCAAGTATTGAAGATTGACATATCGTTTTGAAAGTACCATATTTTGATTGATTTGTTATAATCCTAATTTTTTTCTCTTTTTTTTTTTCTACAAAAACTGTGGGCTGATGTCTTCACAGTATTTAGATTATTTTTTTTAATCCTGTTTTTGTGTGTTTCATGAGCTGGAAGCCCAAATTATGTAAATATAAACAAATACTTGAAACTGTTTAAAGTCTGGGCCCTGAATCTATCATCTATTAAAGATGAACTTTTTAATGGAATTATGGAAGTTAAACAACTTTTCCATGATATTCTAATTTTCTGGAAAGGGTCTGTATATGGATAAGTATGAAACAAGAGAATATGGGCTCTTACCACTGCATTATATAGAAATCTTTTTTTTTTTTTTTAAGTTTGTAAATACTGTTTTTATCTTTTATTTCTAATATAAACACTTGATTCAAATACTACAAAGGTTGTCACTTTATGGAAACTGCAGCGGAAGATAATGTGAAATACCTTGACTGGAATATTTGTAAGGTCATAAAAGATCAAATGTCAACTGTTTAGTCAACATAAAAACTTACAGGTAATGTTTCTAAATTTTGTAATAAAGTAGCATTAAAAAAATGTATTTTGAAGTATTAAAGTTCATGCTCAATAATCCTGGTTAAAAAAAGCAAACCAGTTTAATGGTGAAAAGATGTTTTCTGGAGTCCGCCCTCTCCCCCGTTGACTCCTCTGAGACAGCTATGGCCAAAGTGGTTCAAAACATCAAAGGAGAGGCAGACTTCAGAACACATCACCATCAAACTGGTGGGTGTGCTTCTTGTGGGACTGAGTTTGTTGTGGCTCCTCGGACTGAAAAAGTCCTTTGGATGAAGGATGAAACATCTCAACACAAAGAAAAACCAACCGAATGACCTGACTGAACTTTGTTGGATGTCTTTTGAAGTACTTGGTAGTTGTTTACCTTAGCAAAAATCACTGTAAAGCAAATGAAACAAAATGAAAATATTTATAATTCATCCTCCTCCATCTCTCTCTCTATCCTCTGCATCCTCTGTCCTCACTCCAACTACCTCCATGTCCTCTCTAACTGCATCTATATATCTCCTCTGTCTTTTTCCTGGCAGCTGCATTTCTAACATCATTCTACCTATATACCCACTGTCCTTCCTCTGGACATGTACAAACCACTGTCCCTCCTCTGGACATGTCCAAACCACCTCAGTCTGGTCTCTTTAACTTTATCTTGTTCAACCTGTGCTGTACCTCTGATGATCTCATTCCTAATCTTATCCATCCTTGTCATTCCTAAGGAGAACCTCAACAGCTTCATTTCTGCCACTTCCAGTTCTTTCTCATCTTTTTGTCCATGTCTCTGTCTCCAGACCATACAACATAGCTGGTCTCACCACTGTCCTGTAAACTTTTCCTTTGACCTTTGCTGACACCCTTTTGTCGCAAATCACTCCTGAACCTTTTGTCCATCCATTCCATCCTGCCTGAACTCTCTTCTTCACCTCTTTACCAAACTCCCCATTTTCCTGGACAGTGGACCCCAAGTACTTGAAGTCCTGCACCTTTGTGACCTCTGCTCCTTGTAGCCTCACTGTTCCACCAGCCTCTCTCTCATTCACACACATGTACGCTGCCTTACTACGGCTGACTTTCATTCCTCTTCTTTCAAGTGCATACCTCCATCTCTCCAAGTTCTCTTCCACCTGTTCCCTGTTCTCACCACAGATCACAATATCATCTGCAAACATCATAGTCCACGGGGATTCCTGCCTGACTTCATCTGTTAGTCAGTCCATCACCAGAGCAAACAAGAAGGGGCTCAGAGCCGATCCTTGATGCACTCCCACCTCCACCTTGAAGCTATCTGTCACTCCTACAGCACATCTCACCACTGTCCTGCTATCCTCATACATGTCCTGTACCAGCCTAACAAACTTCTCTGCCATTCCAGATTTCCTCATGCTATACCACACCTCCTCCCTCGGCACTCTGTCGTGCTTTTTCTAAATCCACATAGACACAATGGAGTTCTTTCTGACCCTCTCTGTACTTCTCCATCAGCATCCTCAAAGCAAAGATAGTATCTGTGGTGCTCTTTCTTGGCAAGAAACCATACTGCTGCTCACAGATAGTCACCTCTCCACAATGCTCTTCCAGATCTTCAATGTGTGGCTCATCAACGTAATCCCCCTTGTTTAATTGTAAGCAAGGTAATTTGAAAAATAAGAGAGGTACTGACTTCCATTTTGGTGTGTGGCTGTATCTAGGTGTAAAAAGATCCCTAACAAAAACTGAGTTTCCACGTCAAAATTCAAGTTAGCCAGTGCCATATACACACATGAGTGTGTAATCTAGTCACCCCTATTATTAGAGGAATCTATCGTTTCTAGTTTTTTATATTGCTTATTATATAAACTAGATGTTTAGTTTCCTCAAAATCTATG